GGACGATATTTTGGACTAAAATTCTATGCTGTTTTATTATGATGATACTTTGCAAGATTAGCGTGTTCTCATTCTTACATCACTTCCGGCGGTTAACGCCGATTAGTTACCAGTACTTTCAAGCTCGCGGTAATTCGAAAAATCACCAACTTTGAGGCCCAAAAAGTCCATGAAGATCAAATTTTCGTCTAGTCAAATATATTGCAAATGTTCTTAAAATCGTCTAAACTATCAGGAAAAGTCATTTCCCTGACCCTGATATAGGCACTTTAAAGTAGAAGTGTTTAGACTATATTATAAATTAAGGTCGATATTTGAAAAATGTACATCTAAATGTTGCTATTTACAATAATACACTGGTATTGTCATGAACAGTGAATCTGTTCTTTCGCTCTTTCCTTTAAAATATCTTTGATCTGACGGATATATGATGGTAATTTGCTGCATGACCGTATCTCGGCAGGAAGTGTGATTTCTGGGGGGGGGGGCACAAGGGGGGACTATAAACAAATGAGTATGATTGTGTAAAGGCTGCATGCTTTAGCAGAAGTTTAACCAAAATGTCTAGAAACACTAAGAACAATGTTCAATGTTTCTACAATCTTCGCCATAAGCCATCATCATTCATAAATTTTTGTACAAGTGTGAATCAAACTCAATTGATAAAAGAACCTACACGAGTAACAGAAACGTCATCTTCCCTTATTGATATTATCATGACGTCGAATGTCAGTTTAGTAGAAAATCATGGGGTGGCTTTATCTCACATTAGTGATCACTATCTAACATATGCTTCTTTGAAACTTCAGATGTTGAAGCCGCCACCTAGTTATAAATGTGTGAGATCCTACAAAAACTACAAACCTGATAGTTTCCTCGCGGATTTACAACGAATACCTTGGTATGATATTTCCATCATGGATGATGCAAATGTAATGCTAGACCATTTCAATGAGAGGTTTCTCCATGTAATGGAAACGCATGCACCTGTGAAAACAGTGAGGATTAAACACCGCAGCTGCCCCTTTATTAGCACAGAAATTCGCGAACTTATGCAATACAGAAATAACCTATTGAAAACGGCTCGAAGTACTAAATTAACAACAGACTGGGAAATGTATCGTAAACTAAGAAAAGAAGTAAAATCCAAGCCGAGAGATGCCGAAAGGGAATATGTACGGAAAGAACTAGAGCACAGTCACAATACTAATTCAAAGTGGAAGATAATTAAGAATTGTATTCCTCGTAAAGAAAGCACTCAACAAGTCTACACAAAGGATATGAAAGAAGTTGCTATTGAGTTTAATCAGTTTTTCACCTCAGTTGGTAGGAGAGTATCCCAAGTTTGCACATCTTTAATAGAATTATATAACCTGCCTGCACCTCCAACAAGTGTTTTGCTGGCTGTCGCTGAGTCACAAAATTTTAGTTTTGTTTCTGTTTCGTGTGGAGAAGTACGAAGGACAGTTATGGCATTCCAATCGAACAAAGCTCCTGGCCATGACAAAGTACGAATGTGTACGATAAAGGATGCATTTCCCTGTATTCTCCCAGTTATTACTGACATGATAAATCGCTCGTTACAGACTTCAGTCTTTCCATCAGCCTGGAAAATGTCAGAAGTAATACCACTTCTTAAAGAAGGAGATCACGAAGTGGCAAATAAAAATCGACCACTATCGTTACTACCAGCGACTTCTAAAATTTGTGAACGAGTAGCTTTAAATCAACTGACCTCTTATACGAACAAAAAGAAAGGCCTAAGTAAACATCAAAGCGGTAATAAACAACTACATTCATGTGAGACTCTTGGCGTGTTTATGACAGACAAGGTGTTTAAAGCAATGGACTCAAAAGAACTCACAGTCATAGTATTGCTGGATTTGTCAAAAGCGTTTGACAGTATAGATCACCGCAAACTCTTAACAAAGCTAAAAGCATTAGACCTAAGCCTTGGCGCCGTAGAATGGTTCAAAAGTTACTTGACCGGAAGGACGCAGCAGGTGAAGATTGGCTCAGTTGTATCTGAACCAGGTCATATCACTCATGGTGTACCGCAAGGTTCGATATTAGGACCTGCTTTGTTCAATATATATTTGAATGATTTGTCCACCATCCCGAATTTCGGTGACTTAGAATCGTACGTAGATGATTCAAAATTGTATCTTTCGTTTCTCATCAAGTATGTTAATGAAGTTATGCGGAATATCAATGAAGACCTGTCAAAAATCACAGCATGGTGCTGTCACAATAGTCTACTAATTAATCCAAACAAGACCAAAGTGTTAGTACTAGGAACACACAAAATGTTGCAACGATTACCGGATGACTTTTATGTGACATTACTTGAGAAAAGGATTACTCCCACTATTTCAGCACGCGATCTTGGGATTCAACTTGATTCTACACTAAGTTTTAAGGAACATATAGCAAACACTGTTTCTACTTGTATTGCAAGCTTATGTCAGATAAACAGGGTTAAACATTTTTTTGACCCTAAGATTTTGGAAAATGTCATCTTGTCCCTAGTGTTTTCCAAATTGTATTATTGCTCAAACGTATGGTCCAGTACGACTAAGAAGAACATAGAAAAATTACAAAAAGTGCAAAACTTCGCGGCGAGAATAATCACAGGAACACAAAAATATGAGTATATTACTCCAATACTCAAACAACTGAATTGGCTACCTGTCCCAGACATGTTAAAATACTTTGTTGGAGTTCTAACGTTCAAATGTTTGAATGGACTAGCCCCTGACTATCTCAATTCATATTTTCAAGAGAGATTATCTTTACACGATAGAAACACCAGAAATAAACAAAAACTAAACATTCCAGCATATAGATCGGCGGCCGGACAACGAACATTTGAATACCGAGCAGTATCCCTGTGGAACTCTTTACCTAGTAACATTACTATATATGACAATTGTAAAGACTTTAAAAGTAAATTTTATAACTATCTGCTTGAACTCTTTCTTTTAAAATCTTAATGAACTTATCTAATTTTAACGATTTTAAACTGTAAATACACAATAGAATAATTTAGATATAATTTACATGTATATTAATCTGAAAAACCAAATGTTTGGAGAATTAATTAATTATAATAATAATAATAATAATAACACGAAGTAAGATTTTTGAAATACTACATTGCATGCCCTCGTCTCTTATTCCTGACTAACTCTTAGTACAATTTTTTAAGACCGCTTTAGCCTCATTCTGTAAGATCAGATTTCGCCAAAAGAACACAATTGAATTTAATGAAGAGGCGATTAGAGTTAACGTCTTACTCCATACCTCCATAAACATAGTCACAAAAATACTTCGCTCTAGAGAACGCATTACTGCAAAAGGTAGAAAACATATTACAGTACAAGCAACTACTATTGCACAAGACTTAGCCATTCTTAGATGTTGCAACTTTTTTAGTTCATTTTCCTTTGCATTTGTACTCGCTACCCTTCGTGCTGCACGACATATGGAGACGTATATATACACAGTAATTACAATGGCCAACGATATTACAACACTAGTTATAGGCCGTGCAACTGGTCCAAGAATTCCATAGAAAAGCGTCACTACACAACCTACCAACCAGAAATGTGCTGCTAAACTCAGTAATCGTAGCTTTGTCATTTTAGTCCGATGGAAAAACGGGCGGACAATGCTCAGATATCGCTCGACGTTTAACGCAAATAAAGTTGCAAATGACAGAGAAACTGTAGAAAACGTCAGTATTTCATGTAAAATATGAATTGTGCAATTTGGATTCCCGTTTATTGTGAAAGCCAAGCTTAGGACGAAGATGGGATGACCAACAACTGCTGCAGTAAGGTCAATTACAGATAACAACATTATTAGAAAATACGAGGTCTTGTTTTTTAGACGCGCAGATCTCCAGTAAGCAAGGATTGTCGCTAAATTCAGAGTTACTGCCAATATAATCAGGAAGATATTACATATCAAGCCAATAACATAGCTTATGTAATACGTTTGCGATGGGAAGCTAAGGACCATAACATATTGACCATTGTGAAGCGTGCAACTTTTCCATAATTTCTTGTTGGAGCTAGTGATATTCATATCCGACATCTTTGAAATGAAGTTATTCACCTTGGAGGTTTAAAATATTTATTATTAAAGAGGATGGATTTTGCCATTTTATTACTTTGTTTATATCGTAGAGTACAAACATGTCGATCTATTAACAGAAATTAATTTCTCGAAAACAAACATGTCAGAATGTCATGCAGAAATTAAAACGTAGTTTATATTAATGAAACGAAGATCGCACGATGCTAAAGTCAATATTTTAACCGTAAGGAATCATCAGTTTACTATCCAAGGGCGTCTTTTAAGAATTTGTCACTGGGGACATCAAGGAAATTGTACTTTCATGTATATGGGGCACTTGAAAAGTGCGAAATTCTAGGGGAGGGGGCTCTGAGAGTCCACCCCCAGACAAATATTCATATAATAGCCAGACACAACCGTGATATACTTTATCCGCTAAACAAAATAGTATTAAAACACGTTAATGTTTTGAATCCTAACTATTCTTCCATTTTTTCTTATATTTTAAGACATAACGGACTTGTTCCTCTCGTAATCGTCCCCCACCGCCTTTTAGTTTGGGGATGGAAAGTTTATAGCAGATGTAATAAAAATGTCGATGAAAATTTATAATGAAGATGAATAGGACGCATACAATTAGATTTAAATGCAGACAAAATTAATTAGAATTAAATGCAGACAAAATTATTAACAAATTTAATAGTGTTTTCAACTTGACATGAAATATTAAAATTATGGAAAAGTCAAAAAATCAAATAGTATTTAGTGATAATCTCCACGTACATTATAGTGACACATTTTAAATCGGTATTATAGAAAGTATATACCGAGTGTCCAAAAAAAGTACTCCAGTTTGACTCTTAATAACTCTGAAGTGAGTGAAGCTATTGCACTCAAATATATTTTATTAGATAGAGACAAGATTAGCTTAGATTTTGATATATTACAGTTGTATATTTATAAAAACTGACCGAGATATTAATGTTCAAATTTGGTAGCATACTTCTGGATGTGTAAAAATTTTGCGAAAAACGGCCTATCAAATATTAACCAAGCGTTGCTCAACTTAAAGACCAATTATTATCAGTAAATTGATGAAACTTGATAAAACGTTTATTGTGAAACGAAGCATTGTTATTTACAAAAGAAAAACAAGATTTATTCGTTCGGAATTGCGTGACCTCTAACACGAGTGCAAGCTCGTCGGAGACCATAGCGTCATGGTATGCACATGTTTGGAATCTTGCATGCTCTAAGCAAATCCAAAGTCTTTGATCGTGATCCTTATAGTTAATCTTGCCATACTCAAAATGAAACACAATTGAACCATAACATAACATAACATAACATAACATAACATAACATAACATAACATAACATAACATAACATAACATAACATAACATAACATAACATAACATAACATAACATAATATAACATAACTAATAATATACATAAAGATATTACTCAACTGTGATTGGTTGATTTCAGTGCAGTTAATCCCAAACAGCAGTGCAATTTTCTGTAATCACAGTGCAATTTTCAGTAATCACAGTGCAATTTTCTGTAATCACAGTGCAATTTTCTGTAATCACAGTGCAAAAATCTGTAACAAACTGATCTGATTGGTGGAAAAACATTGTGATGATTAAATCAACCAATCAGTTTAAAGCAGTTTAGTTTTAAAGAAGTAGCGGTAACAGATTGCTTCAAAACAAAACAAACATGGCGCCGCGCTACACAAAGTAAAAGTTGCCTTCGCGTGGAAAATATGGCTTTCATCTTTATTTTTAAATGGAAAAGCATTTACCTTAAACAAGACTAACAAAAAATACACAGTTGAGTGGAATTTTCAAGCTGTTAGCGTTGTCAAATGTGATAAAACAAAGCCAGGAAAACTTTGCCAGTGGAATGTTCGCTATAAACGATTAAGTTAAAACTACAATTGTCTCGAACATTTTTATGTAAATTATTAATAAGTAATAGCATGGTTTCTCGTGAAATTTGGATAAACATGCACTCGTGAGTTTTTCAAAGACCTCAAATAGCACTCGTCCTTCGGACTCGTGCTATTTTGAGGTCTTTGAAAAACTCACTCGTGCAAGTTATATCCAAATTGCACTCGAAACCATGCTATTACCTATACATAACATAACACAACACAACACACAGCACACAACACACAACACACAACACACAACACAACATAACATAACATAACATAACATAACATAACATAACATAACATAACATAACATAACATAACATAACATAACATAACATAACATAACATAACATAACATAACATAACATAACATAACATAACATAACATAACATAATATAACATAACATAACATAACATAACATAACAAAACA